TATCTTCCTGTATCCCCAGTAGGAAAAAAAAAACAGGTAGAGGGACTGGGTTCAGAGACACTTAGGTCACCTCATCTACTCCTCCCAGGGCTAACACTTGGGAAACTGGGAGGCCCAGGCCCAGGGCCTGTTTGGTGGGAGGACAAGGCAGGGTAGGGCTTCTGGCCATTGCTGGAAGACATCTGCCCTGTGGTGGGCATTTGCAAAGTGTTTGACAGAGAGAAGTGGAGACAACTTCTGCCACTTGACAAACACTGTTTGAATAACAGATCTTTATATTTCTATAGGACCGTGCCACTAGAAGAGCTTCCTAGAGCCCACCTCCTCCCTTGCCCCAGCCCCTAGACAGGGTGGCCTCCCTCCTTCGCAGGTGGCTTGGCAACAGGACCTACCTGAAGGATATCAATCCAATGCTTTTGTCAACGGAGGGCCCTTTCCCGGAGTCTCAGTCTCCAAGGCTTTTCCTGTATTCAGTACCACCCCCAGCCCCAATGTGGGCACACTATTCACTATAGCATATGTAAACCGTCAGATCCCTCCCTTTTCCCAGTTAGCCAGCCAGCTCAGCTACAGTAAACAAAGGTCTAGAAAGAAGATACCCTTTTTCCTCAGCATTGAGCTTCTACCTATCCCTCCTTATCCCAACTCCCTCCCAGTCAGTCCTCTTTATTTTCCTCCTTCCTTTCCCTCATCTCTCCTATTGCATTTCCAGATAATCTAGTCTATTTCCCTAGATCTGAAAACATTTCATTGTCATCTTACTATATACCAGGCCCATGTATGCTGCTTCCTCATCCTCACCGTAGGAGAAAGCAAGTTTGATGTAGTCCTAACCTGGGACCAAGGAGCAGAGCCAGGAATTTAGGGACTCTTTGCCCTCTGGGATACAACCCCATGCTCCAACAGCCAGGCCAAGAGCTTCAGGGAAATTTGTTCCCTGAGTTGATTCCCTCCTGCCAGCAGCTGGCAATGAGCAGATGGATAATCACAAAGTCACAAGGCTGCTGGAAAGGACTCTAATCTGGTTATTTTGGGGGCCATGAGGTAAGAGGACAAAACACCCTAAAAGATGCTCCTTTCCCCAGTCCAGCTCACAGCTCAGTTACTGGCCTAGAGTAAGGAAGGTGGCCCAGGAGCCCAGCTGGGGTTGGAGCTTGCAGCATAGTATGGTGCAGAGGGTGGGGCATTTTAAGACTGTCACATGCCACTGAGCTGAGGTATACAAGGAAAAGGCCTGGATGGGGTCCCAGGCCTGCCACCCCCACACACACACACTGGCCCCCTAGGTGGGTGAGCAGGAATGGTAGCAGTCAGTGGAATTGTTTGATCCTCAGGGACTGAAGGCAAACAGCAGATGTACCTATCACTTCCCTCTAAGACCACCCTAGTCAGGTTCCCCAGATGTCCTGGGCCCCTCACCCCAGCCCTTTGGGCAGGGCCAGGACACCAAGGCAAGAGGAGATGCACAGATATGGAAAATAATTTAATAAAGAACTGCATTCTTTACATAGACAAGAGTTGCTTTCTTTACATCTAGCCTCCTTCAGGACCGTCCACTTCGCCCTAAGTAGGTGGTGATGGGTAGAATGATTGGAAATCACCAAATTCTCTGACAATTAGAAAGAGCCAGACACTGTGGTGCAGGCCTTTAATCCCAGCATTTGGGAGGCAGAGGCAGGCAGATCTCTGTGAGTTCAAAGCTAGCCTGATCTACATAGCGAGTTCCAGGCCAGCTAGGGCTACACAGAGACCCTGTCTCAAAAAGACCAAAAAAAAGGAGAGAGAGAGAGAGAGAGAGAGAGAGAGAGAGAGAGAGAGAGAGCCAGCCTGAGAGAGAGAGAGAGAGAGAGAGAGAAAGCCAGCCTCACTGCTTCGGGCTTCGGGGCTTCAGGTTGGGTTTGTGTGTGGCAAAGCAGCCCCCTTGCTGTTATCTATTGAAAATCAGCCCATGAAACAAGAGTTTGAAACAAGATACCGATAGGAAAAAAGAAAAGTAAAAAAAGAAATTCTCAAATAACTTCAAGCGTACAGCCTTCTCAGCTCAAACTCTGCTCTCCGAAGACCTGTGAGCTGTGGAGGTATCAGTGACTCCATGGGAGAAGGAGAGCCCCAGGCCCAGCCAAGCCCCAATTCTAGTACAGGGCCTGCTCTGTGGCTAGTGTGGCATGTTCCCCAAAGAGAACTGGAAGTAGGAGGGATGAGGATTCCGCCATGCCAAGGCAGGACCAAGTCTTGAATTCTCACAGTGGTTCCACCCCAGCAAAGGACATGAATTTCATGCTTGAAGGATTGTCTTAGAGTACTGAAAAGGGTGCCAGTGTGAGCTCCCAAGAAGCCTGGAAAGTTCTTTGGGGCTGAGTGCATACTGTAGAGTGGTGGTCCCTGAGGGGTCTTGGAGTACCTCACTCTAGTGCAAGAAGGGAGGCGAGATGGAATAAAGGCTCCCAGGAAGGGTGGACCCAGGAGAGGCCTGCTGTCCTCTTCGCAAACCAGCAGCTCCATGTTCTGAAGTCAACAGGCTTAGCCCAGCAGTTACCCAGTAACAGTCTTCTTAAAGACACTCTCAGAGTTCAGTGCTCTCAGCACAGGCCACCAGCACTAGGGACTAGGATGTGGGCATCTTGGAGGCATTCATCCAGGAAGGTCCCCAGGAGTGTACAGGTGTTAGCCTGGGCTAGAACACAGCTTCCCTCCAGGAAGCTCTTGCTCCATCCACTCATCCTGCTGGGCTCACTGTAGTGTGCAAGCTAATGGGGATAAGAGGGAAAGGTCTTCAGCAAAAGAGGCAGAACCTATAACCCTGTTATGGGTGGTCAGACCCCAGGACAGTACTCACAGCTACGAACAGACTCCGACAGCCCTTCTTTGTCCAGAGTCTCTGCTTCCCAGCGAGATTCCCTCATCTGTGGGACATAAAGTAGGACAAGGGGTAAGGTAGCCAGCTAGACTTGGAAGCCACAGTGCCCACACAAGAACAGCAAGGAGGAACCTATAGCCCATCGCCCATTGTAGACTGGAGCCCATGCATGCCCACCTTGACCTGTTCCTTCAGGTATTCGGCTCGAGCCATGAAATTCTGAACCTGCCAAGGAAAGACATGCCTGGAAGTGAGGGGGCTTCAAATGGAGCTCCTCTCACTGATGCTTTCTAGAACCCTCTGCCTCATTTGAAAGGTCTCGTCTCTGATCCCCCGTCTACTTCCTCTTTCAGTAAGTTTCCCTGCTGTGGCAGCCTGTTAGACTTTTGGTTGATCCAAGCACTGCAATCTTGGGCCACTGTGACTTAGCAAGACTAAGTAAGGACTGGCCTCAGTCTTGGGCCACTCAAAGGCAGGGGAATTCTATATATAACCTAAAGAGACCCCATAGGCATGAGCTGAGTAAATGCAGAGGAGAAAGAAGCCCAGCCTCCCAACCCTACTGGGTACCTCAGTGTGAAGCAGCTCCCGCCTCCGGCCTGGGGCCTCTGCTGTAAAGAGAGGGCAGATAGTGAGAGCAAGGTAACCAGGGGCCAGGCAGGGGTGATGTTTGGGCCTCACCTGCCAGCAACAATAGCAGCTCCCCTAGGCTGTGCTGGTAAAGGTCCAGGGCCTCCTGCTCCTTGCCACCTTCCTCCTCCTACAGCGATATGGGCAACATGTCACTCCATGTTGTGCCTCGTTTTCCTCCCTTTCCTACCTTGCCCCTTCCCTTTGAGCACAAACCTTGGCCATGGCAGCTGAGGCCACTTCCAGGGCAGCTAGGAGACGTGGCTTGTCTCGGGCCATCTCTGAGGTGAGGGTAAAAGTTCACAGTGAGGGGGGCAACCCTGCTGTTTTTTACACAGGAAGCCCACCACAGTCTGCCTGTCAAGCTGGAGGAGGATTGCCAGGGCCTACTGAGTGGGCTGGGGACTGGAGCCTACCTCTCAGCAGGTCTCGAGTAGAGGTCCCCTGCCTCAGCAGGGTCTGACTGGAGGAGGAGACGATGGCTTTAAGTTCCTCAGCCCGGGACACGTACTGCCCCACCTGTAGCAGGATGAAGGGCTGAGGAGGACTATCCCCCAATCCAGGACCGATCGCCAAGTTATCCTTCTGGGTATTCAGTGACTGTCTCCTGTTCTAGCCAGGTGAGGGTCAAACAAAGCCGGCCTGATCCCCCTACCCAGCCCTATGCTATGGGAAAAGAAGTTCGATCTCTGGATCCTCTCCCCTAATGTCCAATCATTTCCTCCTTGGTAGATCACCCACCTTTCCTTTAATCACCTCCTTCCGCTGGGCATCCACTTCATCTGTGGAAGGTGGGGGTTCATATAAGGAGTCTGTGGGGGAACCCCTATCCCACAGCAAGCCCTCTGCAATCCTCAAACACCAATTTCTAGGTTTATCTTCTGCCTTGTCTCCCTTAAGACTCTGCATGGGAAACCTCTGGACTCCATCACTGTAGTTAGAGCTGTCCCGCCCCCCCCCGCCAACTCCATCCTGCCCCTTCTGAACTCAGAGGTACAGGCATAGCCTGGGACTCACAGTGCAGGGCAGGCACAAAGAAGTCCAGAGCCTTGCAGTAGAGTGATAGAGCTGCAGCTGCATCCCCTTCCTGGTCCTTTTTCACAGCCTGTACCACCAGGGCCGTCTGGGGGATGGGAGGAGCAGCAGTGAAATCTACCTCCCTAACACCACACCAACCAGGACCAGTGCTCCTGAGCCCTGCTGCTCTGTTTCTGCGGGCCAGTCACTGTTTGCCACCAGAGTGAGCAAATGAGACCTCTGTAATCTCCCTTGTCTACTCACTGCTCTTGCCAGGCTCTCCCCATTTGGCATGTGCTCCAGGTCCACCCAAGGGTGGGCAAAGAAGTCCTGGAAGGAGATTCGCTGGCTGGGGTCCCTCTCCAGGAGCCGCTGCAGCAGGTCACGGCAGTCTCGGGAGAGAGGGGGCCGAAGGGGAAGCTGTGGTGATGTAGGGCAAGGATAGAGCACATTGGGCTCCATGGAACACTGGGTTCCAAGCCCAGGACCTGTCAGGAACCCCTAGAGTTACATGTTTTTTTAAATTTTATTATTATTTTATGCATATGAGTGTATTGCCTGCATGTATGTGAGTGCACCCATGTCGTGCAATGCCATGGAGGTCAGAAGAGGGCTTTGGAATTCCCTTGGAACTGTAGTTAAGGACAGTTTGTAGCCGCCATGTGGGTGCTGGGAATTGAACCCGGGTCCTCTGCAAGAGCAGTCAGTGCTCTTAACTGTTGAGCCATCTCTCCAGCCCCTAGACTTACATGTTTACATGTGGGTAATCTGAGACCTGGGAGGAACATGGAAGTCCAGGTGATGAGCAGGTAGCGAGTCAGGCATTCTTTCCTAGGCTCTTATCAACAGCTGTTGTACAGCACCATCTGTGGGAATTCACTCCTAGCCCTAGACTATGATCCTGGGAAAGTTGGGCCTAGCTGTGTGGTAGCCTTCTCCCCACAGGCCCTTCATTGCCTGCTGTGGCTGACCTGGATCCCCACGAATGAACCAGATCCTTGGCTTCCACTGCAGAGCAAGCCCCACACCACTGGAGCCCCCACTACAGTCTGGACCAATGGACGTAAAGCCATTGAGCCTGAATCCCTCAATCCCCAGCGGATGCCAAGGCCTTGCCAGACGTACCTCGATAACCCGATTGCTGCGGATCTTCTCTTCTAGTTCCGAGAATGATCTGGAGGCAAAGGGGGGCTGCCCGAAGAGGGCTTCTATGAAAAGAGGGAGGGAGAGATTAGGATGGGACAGGGCTAAGCTTAGCCTGGCCCAACCCTGGGAATGGGGCAAGAACCTCTCAGAGCAGGGCCCTGAGTCCCTCAGTTCTGAGAACCTAAGAGAGGCCTTAGGCCTTGCCCAAAGACAAGAGTAGCTGCTGGGGTGGGGAACAGGTGAATCGAGATCTCACCATACAGGATGACCCCCACAGACCAGAGGTCTACTCGGGCATCGTACTGTCGCCGACACACCATCTCAGGGGCCATGTAGAGTGGGGAGCCACGAAGCACGTGTTTCTCATCCCATGGGGACATATGCTGTGCAAAGCCAAAGTCTGCAGGCAAGAGGCCAGACAGCAGGTTTCAAATCTCAGCTGCTTCCCAGGCTCCAGGCTGAGCTCCTCCCCACTTTGGACTCACTAGAACTACTTCTGCTCCTTCCCCTATGCTATTATTAGCCTTCAGCAACAATCCTACACCTCCCTCTGGGGTAGAAACCCTCCCCACGGCACACAGCCTCTTCTTCCCAAGAAGCCTACCTTAGAACAGCAGCAGCAAAGAAAGGGCCCACCCCTCACTGTCCTGCCAGGCCTAGGCTATGGTATGTTCTCTGGTCTCCAAACTCAAGTCCATACATGTCCAAATATCTGAGGCTATAACCACCCTTCCACCACTCATACTCTCCTCAGCTGTCCAGATTGAGCCCCAATCTCGATGACAGATTAAATCACGTCCCTGATCACAGACTGATCCCTGATGCTGGTCACACATTGGCACTGTTTCTATACTGAACCTCAAACCTGGACCCACAGTGAGGCCCAACTCTGACCACAGAATGATCCCTAACTACACCTAAAACACTGCAGGACTTGAATGTGGGCAGCCTGAGAAAAGGTGCTTCCTTCTGGTGATGGGCCAGCCCCGTATCTCCCATCCTTCACTGATGACTTAACAGAGGGACCTCTGAGAACCAGGGTGCTGAGGAGCCCAGGCATGGAGGCCACTGTATACCCATTAAAACATTACCCTGCTGTTCCAGACTCAGACCTGCTAATTTCAAGTGGGGCTTCTCCAAAGAGCTCAGCAAAATGTTCTGTGGCTTCAGATCCAGGTGAGAGATGTTCCGTTCATGAAGGAACTGCAGGGCACTAGCTGGGGAGCAGTCCCCATGCAGATGTCAGAACCTGTTTCTGGCCTGACTCTCCCCTCCTCTGGCTTCCATCTGCTCTCTTTAAGCTGCACAGCCCTACATCTGGCCTGGCTGGTCTACAGAATGCTTTACATACATGCACCAGGCTCCTGCCTGCTGGGAAGCTAAGAGTTTCCCAACCTCAAGTGCCTGCCTTAGCACCCTTCACAAGACTCCCTTCCTTCCCAGGAACCTTCTGAGATGCCAAGCCTTTTAGGTCGCCCTTGGGTTCCACCTACTGGGCCCTGGAAGATTCTACAAAGTTCTTATATCAAGTTCCACATGTGGAAGCCTGAATGCCCACAGATCTCTCATTGATCCTAGGAACATGAACATGGGGAAAAAAGGGCCCTGAAAATTCAAATTAGGCAGTAGGAAGCCTCAAAGCAAAGGAAAAGAGAAGAGAAAACGGGGGTGTCAGGCTGGGGTCAGAGGCTTTTACCCAGCTGCTGCATGAAGACACGAGTCACCTTCTCAGGCAGAATCCTGCGGGTATGGATGAAGCGAGACAGGTCACCCCCTGCACAGAACTCCATGATGAGGTAGATATTCTCACCGTCCCACTGTGGTTAGAGGTAAAGAGGCAGCCTGAAGGCAGTGTCCCTTCTCCAGCCTCGTTTGGAGGGAGCCCCGCCCAGGCTCGAACCTGGAAGTCTTTCAGCTGCACAATGTGGGGGTGCCGTATACCCTTGAGGATCTCAATCTCAGTCAGGAGGTTTTCCACCGATGCCTTGTTCAGACTTTTCTTGACAACGCACTTTATGGCTACCACCTCCCGAGTGTCCTTCTGTGGGACAGGAGATCTGGGGGCCTCTGTCTTGAGGGGCCAGCCCCATGACAGGTTGGAGGGGCTCTGGGTCCCTCTACAACGTTCCTCCTGCCTGGGTCTATCCACCCCGCACCGACCTCCAAGCTTCCCAGTTTCTCCTTAATTACCTGGATTCTGGAACCTTGGCTTCCCAAGATTGAACCAAGCAGGTGTTCAATCCCCTACGAACCCACAGCAGTGCATTCGAAAGTGGCCGGAAAGGGCATATCACCCTGTTCTAGAGCTTCTAAATGGTCCTGCCTCCAGGAGTTTGCTCCCAGACTCTTCCCAGCCTCCAAGGCAACTTCCGGTTTGAGCCAGTTCTTCGGCCACTGACACCGAGGTTATCTAAAGTCTTCCCCCGCCCCTCCAGACCAAACGTACACGTGTTTGTTTTTTGGATTCGAGGAGCGGTCAGCTCCAGCCTCCTCCGATCGCCAGGCGGGGTGGCCTCCCTGCTCTCACCCGGCCGCTCCCCTCCCGCCCTGCCCGGCCTGCTGCCCCGCTGGCTCCGCGTTGGCGGGCACAGGGGCAGGTGCCCGGCGCCGGGACGCCCCGAGGGTCAGCCCGTCCACAACCCACCTTGGCGTAGGCCTTGTACACCGTGGCGTACGTGCCACTGCCTAGGCGCTCGGTGAGGATGAAACCGTCCAGCCGCGGAGGACCCCAGCCGGGCCCCGCCATCCCGCGCCCGCCGCCAGGTGCTTCCTGGATCCGGGTGCGGGTTCGGGCCGGAGCGTAGCAGGGCGCACGAGGGGCGACAGGGATGGACTCCTCCGGGCCCCAGCGCCGCCTTCCGGAAGCGCGGGTCGACTCCGCCCCCTCCGAGGCTCCTCCCCGCCGCCCTCCAGGGACGGGTCCCTGACACCCTCTGCCCTGGAGTGGCAAGACTGGGCAAACGGGTGAGCCAAAGCCAATGGATCGCGCGTCGGGGAAACCTCACCCAGGTGCGGGCAGCATCCTAGAGACCACCCACGTGAGCGGCGGGAGGAGGGGCCCGTCCTGCCCTCCAGGACCAGCTAAAAATGGAAGAGCGGGACCAGAAAATTCTGCGGACCCTCGCAGTGAGAGAACGACTCCCCCAAGTTGTCCTCTGAGCTCCACACGCGCGTCCATGCACACAAATATAACACAAAATTTAAAAACAGAAAGCCGGGCGTGGTGGCACACGCCGTTAGTTACAGCACTCGAGAGGCAGAGGCAGGTGGATCTCTCTGAAATCAAGGCCAGCTTGGTCTGCATACTGAGTTCCAGGCCTGCTGCAGCTACACTGAGACCTCAAAAAACCCAAATATAAGGCTGGAGAGATGGCTCAGTGGTTGAGAGCACTAGCTGCTCTTGCAGAGGACCCAGGTTCGATTCCCAGCATTCACATGGCTGCTAACAACCATCCATGACTCCGGATCCAGGGGATCCAACACCCTCTTCTGACCTCTACCTACATGCAGACAATACACTCATGCACATAAATAAAAATACTTTTTAAAATAGCAAAAAATAAAAATAGAAAAAAAAATGCCTTTGGAAGGGTCTCCTTTCACTCCAGGAGGTAAGTGGCTTTGACAGCTTGTCACAGGCCCACCACTGAAGATCTTTTTCATTTTAAATTTATTTTTATTTCATGTGTATAAGCATTTTTGCTGCATATATGCTGGAGTTAAGCAGTTGTTAGCCACCCATAGGTGCTGGGAACCAAACCCAGGTTCTCTACAAAAGCAACAAATGCTCTAACTGCTGAGCCATCTCTTTGTTTTTGAGACAGAACCTATGTAACCCTGGATGGCCTAGAACTCAGAGACCCACCTGCCTCTGCCTCTGCCTCTGGAGTGCCCTATCTTGGTTATCTGCCCCAGCCTGATGAGCATAGTCCTCCCAAGGCAACTAGAGACATCAAGACCAGTGCTATCAGAAAACGTCTTATTTTTATTTAAGCACAAAAATTGAGACATATACATTTGTACATGGAAGAAAATAATACCAGAAAGTTTACAAAACCCTGGTGGCTGTCATCATTCATTGGCTCTAGGCCCCAATGGGCCGACAGCCCAAGGGCTGCCTCAGGAGTGCCCCAGTTACCAGAGACATGAGGCTGGCCAGCTTGGTGAGCCCCAAAGCCCCCCCACAGCACAGGGTGCATGCTTCAATGGTGAACTCCGAGATATCACTGCAGTGACACACCTGGGGAGCACCCAGGGCAAGGAGAAAGGGACTTAGACTCTATTGTGGGTACAGGAGGAACCTTCAGAAAGATGGCTCAGTGGTCCTGCCTGCAGGACATAGTTCTGCACTGATTTCTTCAACTCTCCTCAAGAGTTTGTAATAGGTAAATATTGATGATGGGGCAGGAGTAAGACTAAGGCAGAGGGCAGCTGTCCCTCAGGAGAGGAAGCCAAAACAAACAGAGCCACACCTGGACAGTCACACCCACCCTCCTAAAGACTGGGCAAAAGGCTGGACAGGACAACTTGATTCATTGTCCTCTGCCCCTCCCACCCCCAAGTCCCACCCAACCCCACTATACATCCAGAAAGCCTGAAGAGAAGGGCTAGGGAAGGCCCCAGAGGGAACAAGGTGCTGTCACACCAGGAAGGCACAGAGAGGTCATAAAAGGGTCATGAATCTTTCGTGAGGAGCATGAGGTGTAGGAGAGCTGGGACAGTTAGGCCAGAGGCTCTGGAAGCATGAAGACTACTTCAGGGTTATCTGGAGAACAGTTGCCCACCCACCCAGAACACAGCCTGCCTTAAGTAGAGCCCTTGGAAGGCTTACTGAAGCCTGTGCAGGAAAATGCATAACTGTGGACACCACAGGCTCTGCCTATAAACCCCAATACATATATGGCCTGCTCTAGGAGAAGCGGAGTCCAGGATACCTGTGGAAAATAAAATTCCTAGTACAATGAACCCAGGCTGGCCAATAATTTTATGTGTATGTGTGCGTGTGTGTGTGTGTGTGAGTGTGTGTTTAGCAGGAAGGCAGTTTTCATTCTACCGCTTCCAGACAAAATCCTACCAAACCACCACCAGAAAAGAAAAGACAGCTTTGTTAATTTTTCTCTTCTCTTGTGTAAAAAAACAATGTTCCTGTACCTTTCTCCCTCTCTTTCAAGTAGAAGGGAAAGCTGGCTGCTGAGGAAGAAGCAGGGGATGCAACAAGATGCCTGCCAGGTCTGTGCTGGGCAAAACCACTGCATAAGGCACCCACATAAAGTACAGCTCAGAAGGCAGGTGACAGAAGAGGCTGGGGCTGAGGGAAGGAGAGTCAGGAGGACTAATTCCCCTGGAAGGTTCCTCGGGCAGCAGATGAGGCAGCACTGCGGAAGGTTCTGTTGCTGAAGATGCCCTGGGAAAACTCCTCTTGGGCCTGCTGGAAGCTGGCTCCTGTCCGGCGGTAGAAGGCGTGTACCTAGGGAAAGAGGCTGGGGTCAAAGGAGCCCAAAACTATCCTAGCCATTCAGATATACTCCCAAAGGGGCCTGGGAGTTCAACCCAGCTTGACTGCACACCCTCCGAGGGCTTAACTGCAGGAGTGAGGAATATCCAGGTCCAGGCAGGCTTTTTGTTGGTTTAACCCCAACTTACCCGCTGCAGGAGAAAGAGTGAGAGCCCGGCACAGAGGGTGAAGAAGCCTGCCACTACCATCATGATGATTGACACAGCTAAGGAGATCCCTTCCTTCAGGGTAGACAGGGCTGCCAGCCAACCACTATAAAAGATGCCAGAAGAGTGAAGTGAGAGATAGCTCAGAAATCCCTAGGAGAAGTTACTGTGTGCTGGGTCACTATCTGCAGGACAGGAAGCCTTGGAGTTCAGTGACTGTGGTCTGTCAGAGGCCAGCCTGTGAGGGCTGAGAGGCCCATACTGCTCCAACATGACCTCTCCTGGGGCCTCAGAGATGCAGTCACACAGGGAACAGGACTTGTGAGGTCTAGAAGGGAGATGTGGCAGCTGCCTTCAATCAGAAGCCCAAAGGTTCAGCTGCTGCCTGGGTATTTTGTCTTTTTGAGACAGGGTCTCCCTGTAGCCCCAGCTGTCCTGGAACTCACTATGTAGACCAGGCTGGCTTTGAACTCACAGAGATCAGCTTGCCTCTGCCTCCCAAGTGCTGGGATTAAAGGCGTGAGCCACCATGCCCGGCTGGTTAAAAGCATTTTTAAGCTCATACTACTCTTGTAGAGAACCTGAGTTCAATTCGCAGTAACCATGAGGCTCACAACTGCCTGTAACTCCAGTTCCCGAGGATCCAATGTGCTCCTCTGGTCTCCATGGACATTGCACTCATGTGCACAAACCCATACACAGATATACATAATTTTAAAAATTTAAAAATTGGGGCTGGAGAGATGGCTCAGCAGATAAGAACACTGGTTGTTCTTGCACATGGTGGCTAACCACCACCTGTAGCTCCAGTTTGAAAGGATCTGACACCCTCTTCTGGCCTCCATAGGAATTGCATGTACAGATGCACTTACATACATGCTAGAAAAAACACTCATATACATAAAAAACAAAAAGCCAGGTGTGGTGGCACATGCCTTTAATCCCAGTGCTTGAGAGGCAGAGACAGGTGGATTGCTGTGGGTTCAAGGCCAGCCTGCTCTCTATAGTGAGTTCCAAGCTAGCTGGGGCCACAGGGAGACCCTGCCTCAAAAAGACCAAAAAACCCCAAAACAAATAAATTTTTTTTTAGTTTTAAAATTAAGGAAATACTACAAAGCCATAATAATCTAAACAGTATGGGACTAGCATGAAGATGTTCATATATATCAAAACAATACACCTATGTCACAGGCTTCAGGGACCAGAAATAAACTCATCTACCTAGGATCAATTAATTTTCTGACAAGGACCCTAAAACCAAAGAGGAGGGGCTGGAGAGATTAAGATTAAGATTAAGCCAGTGGTTAAGAGCACTGACTGCTCTTACAGAGGACCCGGGAGGCTACAAACTGTCCTTAACTCCAGTTCCAGGGGAATCCGAAGCCCTCTTCTGACCTCCGCAGCATTGCACAACATGGGTGCACTTGCATACATGCAGGCAATACGCTCATACACATAAAAATACTAAATAAAATACTTAAAAAACCCTGAGATTATACACAACTCTGAGAAGAAAAACACGAGCAACTTTCATGTAATTGCCTAAATATGACACCAAAAGCAACACAAGAAAAACAAAGGGACAGCAAGACGACTCATAAGGTGCTCACTGCCAAAACTGACCACCTGAGTTCAATCCCGAGAACCCACATGGTAGATGGAAAGAACTCTTCCAAGTTGTCCTCTGACCTCCACACACACACAACACACACACACACACAATGTAGAAATTAAACAAAAAACCAAGGTGGATGGTACTGAGGAAGAACTACATCTGAGGGTGACCTCTGGCCTCCACAAGGTGTATGCATGTGTGCCTACATGAATATAAACATGCATGTGCACCCACCAAAATAAAATTAAAGGAAAAGAAAATGGTCACAAAAGGGCTATGGAAAGGCAAGAGCAGGCAGGAACAGCAGAGCACATCCAGCTGTACCAAAGCAAGGCAGTGAGGGCAGGGCCAGGACACAGCTCAAACCTCAGAGCCCCATCCTCAGTGCAAACAGCAGCTATAAACCATAGCATGCCCTCCGCTTACCCCTCCTCTCACTCATTTTGGGATATTTTTTGCTCACACACACACACACACACACACACACACATTTTTTTTTTTTTTTGTCTTTTTGAAGCAGGGTCTCCCTGTAGCCCCAGCTGTCCTGGAACTATGTAGACCAGGCTGGCCTTGAACTCACAGAGATCCGCCTTCCTCTACCTCCCAAGTGCTCTCCTGGCTAATTATATATATTTTTTGTTTTATTTGGGGACTGGAGAGATGGCTCAGTGGTTAAGAGCACTGGCTGCTCTTGTAGAGGACCTGGGTTCAATTCCCAGCACCCACATGGTGCCAGTAACTCCAGTTCCAGGAAATCCCATGCTCTCTTCTGATCTCCGAGGGCACTGCAGGGCACAGGTGCACCTACCTACATGCAGGCAATACACTCATATACATAAAAATTTTTTTTTAAAATGCATATGTTTTGCCTGCATTTAAGTCCATCCATGTCATGCAACACCTACGGAGGCTAGAAGAGGGCACTGAATCCTCTGGAACTGGAGTTAAGAATAGTTGTTAGCCACCATGTGAATGCTAGAAACTGAATCTGGGTCCTCTGTAAGAGAAGCCAGCCCTCTCAACTACTGAGCCATCCAAGATTTTTTTTTTTAATGTTTTATTTTTTATCTTTTAAAAAAATTTTTAAGAACTACATGATTAGAAGAACCATTTCACTGCAGCTTTAACATATTCAGTAACACACTCCAGAGCAAGAGTACATCTCTTTCACAATTGGCTGCAAGTTTCTAGGTTCAGATGAATTAATAGTTACACAATACTGAACTCAATAAAAGCCCTGTAAGACATAAAATGGAGTTTTTAACCTTTAAAAAAGATCTCTATTTCATTTTAGAATATATTGTTCCTTGCAGACTCATCGGGTTTGCTACTAACACTGAGATATTGGCACACACATCTGTATGTATCTATTACTAGTCATAATCGGTTGCACTTGGATCCTAGGCGCCTGTGTATGTCTGTAAAGTCATCAGTAGATTTCAATGATAATGTTTATCACCTCTACTAATTAACACGATGTAAATTTCCATGCTTCCTCCTCAAAAATAATACATTTAAAAAAGTTTGTGTGTGTAAATCACAGAACATCCCAAACCACCATATTCAACTACACACCCACTTCCCAGATGGCACCCTCCCATAGCCCCCCCCCCACTAGAGCCCTTACACTCTGATATCCCTGCTACTGTCCTCTGTTTCGTTGGCACCCCCAGCCATTCCCCACTACTTGCCCTTCTGGTGAATCTAGTCAGCCTATCTAGAGGGCTTTGTTTTAGGAAGGTCAGCTGTTCCTTATCTAGCAGCAATCAGTTGTCAATATTCCTTTAGATAAGATTGGGGTCTGCTGTTCATTTTCCTAGTTCTATGGTGGGTTACTATCTGGGAGTCCCTTGGGCCACTCTGGCCAACATCTCAAAAGAAGGAATCTCCTCTCTGGTATTGTTGCTTGTTGTGTAGCCTTTAGCTATGCATATGGACTCTTAAGAAATTATATTAGCCCCTTTAATCTTTGGTTAGACTTTCTTTTGGGTGTTTAAGGTCATACAGTTGGCCCAGACAAACTAATTTATTTTTACTCTTGAGGTCATTTGAGGATCTGTTCCTCAGGGGTCACATGGGCTTGGGAGGAGCCCCTGGCTCCTTTCTTTTACCAGTTCTGCCTATGTGAAGATAAAAGGTCCTGCTTGACCATGGTTGGCTTCGCTTGGAAGCATGGAGGAAATTATTCTTCTGTGTTGACCCTCCTCTTTGTAGGCAGGACACTGGTTCAAGTCCATCTGGTGGGGGTCTCCTCTGCCTCCTTGATCAAGAGGACAGGTGACCCACCACAATTACAGGACATTTTGAGAGATGCTCATAGTCCCCTGGAACTAGTCGACCTAGGAGGGCAAGGAGCAAAAACTGTCCTTTATGTCCCTCTGACCAAATTATTAATAGGCTTCAATGTATGTCTGTTAAACATCCAAGAAGGTTAGTTCCACCAGTCTGGTACTTTTAATTACTATATGTCATGAAGATAAATCTTGGGAAAAGACCAATTGTTCTCAGATAAACCTTACCTAGGCATATATTTCTTGATCTGCTATATATAATTTGTCAATAGGTTGTTGGAGTAATATGGTTCCCTCGGGTTTTCAAAACTAGATAGGCATTATTTATCTCTCATTGTCTCACCCCTCCATCATGGTTTCCCCACTTAAGGTGCCCCCATTTTCCCCTTCTCCCTTAATAATACCCTTCTCCTATGGTCTTACCTCTCTTGAGCTCTTTCTTTCCCTTTATCCCCTAGGTTCCTTGTATACCCTTCCCTCCCCCCTCCCTTAAACTATTTTCCTAGTGTTTCCTATTGTTCTTTTCTTTCGGGTTCTTTCTTTTCCTTTACCTCCATTTCCTTTCCATTATCCTGGTTCCTGTAGTTATGTCTGGATATACACTCACTTATCAGCATTTGGTTCTAGGAACCACATATGAGGGAGAACACATGTCGATTTTTTTTCTGAGTCTGTATTACTTCACTTAGTATAACAGCTTCTAGTTCCATCCATTTACCTGCAAATTTCATGATTTCATCTTTCTTTACTGCTGAGTAAAACTCCATTGTATAAATGAACCACATTTTCATGGATGAGTCGTCAATTGAGGGACATGGAGGTTGCTTCCATCTCTTAGTTATTGTGAAAAGAGCAGGAACAAACATGGATGTACAAGTGTCTCTGCAATAGGATGAGTTCTTTGGGTACATGCCAAGGAGTAAGATGGGGTAAGATGAAATCTTAAAGTGGTTTTAATTTACATTTCCCTAATTATTAGTGATATTGAACATCTTTTAAGATGTTTCATAGCCATCTTTACTACTTCTTTTGAGAACTCTCTGTTCAGCTCCTTAACCCATCTATTAATTGGGTTACTTCTTGTCTTGGTTCTCTGTTTTTTGAGTTCGTTATATATTCTGGATATTAAACCTCTGTCAGATGTGTCACTGGTGAAGATTTTCTCCCATTCTGTGGGTTTTCTGTTCACTTCCCTGGTTG